ATCTTGGAACACTGAAAAAATAAAATAAAATTAAGATGCTAAAAAAAAAAAAAAGAGCCCGTATGGAAGCCGCCAGCAGTCGTATTGCTGTCTGCGTCGGAGACGAGGAAGCCGAACGGCAGCGGTAAGGCAGCACGAGTCATGCTCGAACACCTGGGGTGCGAACCCCCGGTGTCAAGGTCACCCAAGCAGATGGCTCTGGCCGAGGTCTTCGTTTGCCTCCAGAATGGCGGGTCCCAAAGATGCGTCCATGTTCTGATCCCCAGAACCTGGGAGTGTCCTATTAGACGAAGTCATGATTAAGTTAGGGGTCTTGAGGCAGTGGGTTATTCGGTTCAGCCTTGAACAGGTGGCGCCGAGGACTCTCCCGTGCCGGGTCCCCGGGAGGGAGCACCGCCAGCCCCAGGCCTCATGCGTCTGCCCTGGAGCTTTCGTCGTGATGTCCAGCACACGGGCCCGTGCTGCCTGGCTACAAGGAGATCACATGGAGCAGGAAGGGAAGCTTATTTCCGTAAGCAGTTCTCCCTCAACCCGTCACCAGTTCCGTTTTCGGGCATATTGTCTCTCTGTCGCGTGTGTACGGGGTGGGGGGACTGGGAGGTGAACCACGATGGGAATTCCTGGAGGTTGGTTCCCAACCCCACTAGGGTAGCAGCCTCTCCGCCTTGCCCCACACACGCGGGCCCCGGCGGTGTAGGAAGAGTGAGTGCCTGCGCGAGGGGTCCTGGCTCCGGCTCCTGGGACTGGGGAGCCCCGGTCAGCCCCTGTTGCTGTGAGGCCCGCAGGAAGGAACGGGGGCAGGAGGTGCTTCCCCTCAACAAGCTTACGGCCTGAGGCTGTGGGAGTGGGGGAGCCTTTTCTGCTCTGTAAAGGCATTGCCGTAAAATATGCCTTGTGGCCCCAGTTTTTGTGTGGAATCGAATGGAACTCTGTAGATGGCCTCTGAAAGTGCCCCCGAGGGAAGGAGACAGCTCACCCCATAAAGGCATAGCTTCCGTGACTGCTTTGGTAAGAAAAGAATGTGCTCATGACCCACTGTTAAGATTGTGGGTTGCGGAGAGTATTTACTAGTAAACACACGTCTTAAAACCACCGGTCAGTGCAGCTTGAAGGTCAGGGTGTGAAGAAAGGAGGCTGTGGAGGGGGTGCTGGCACAGGACGGTTCCAACAGATGGAGCACAGAGACCACAGCCACCAGGGCAAGGAGCCGTGTGGGGAGTTGGGGGGACTCTGGCAGAGCTGGGTTTAGAGGAGGGCAGGAATGAGGGGCATGGGCCCTGATTTAGGAGGTGACCTGACATCCCAGCTGACAGCAGCTAGGAGCCCCTACCATGGCAAGGGGGGCATGGGGATGGGGGTAGGAAATGGATTAGAAACTAAGGAGGAAGGGGTGCCTGGGCAGCTCCGCCAGTTGAATATCTGAATCTTGATTTCGGCTCAGGTCGTGATGTCTGGGTCCTGGGACTGAGCACTGTTTCAGGCTCCTTGCTCACTGTGGAACCTGCTTGAGATTCTCCCTTTCCTTCTGTCCTTCCTTGTGCTCACACACGTGCTCTCTCTCTCTCCCTCTCTCTCTCAAATAAATAAAAATAAGGAGGAAGAACAGATATGTAGCCAAACTTGTAACATCAGATACAATTAAGGATCCAGAGAGGACAACAGTGAAAGAAACAACTATAGGAGTATCATAGCGGGGAAGAACAGAAAAGTGGGCTTCCGTGTATCTGCTAGTGCCCGGAGTTTGGGGAACTCCAGGATGCAGAGTAATGCATCCTGGTAAGTTGAATTGAAGGCTACGACGAGGCTGAAGGAACTACTCAGGCCTGGAACCCAAGCCTGGTAGGGGAAGGGGGCTCATGTTTCCAGTCTGAAATGTTTGACTGGCATGTATCAAAGTCATCACCTGTACGCGGGGATGGGCCCAAGCTTTGAGGCCCCTATATCTTAGGCAGTTTTCAGTCTCCTATAAGAAAGGGAATACCCAGTATAGTGCTGGGCTCTGGTGTCTGTGGCAGTGTGGGACCCTGCACTTAATTAAGCTTCGTTGCCATCAGCGTGAATTTGCCCATGTGGGGTGGCAGGTGAACTACCCACGAGAGAAGCATGAACAGCCCCGTCCCCCAGTGCTCTGCTTGAGCTCCTGTCCATAAGTAACCCTGCCAGGCTCTCCTGGCCTGAGGCACCGTCCTCCAGATGCAGGCTGATCTTCCCTTGCACGTCTTTCTGGGGTTCTCCACACAGAGATGCGTCTCCAAGCAGTAGTCTATTGACTTTTGAGTGTTTCTGGACTTGATATAAATGATGTCAACATGCACATTATCATTTTGCAACTTGCCTTGTTTTGCTCAAAACGTGAGAGTCCTGCAAGCTGGTGTATGCAGCTGCATTGGCTCCTTTCCCTCCTCACTGTCTGAATACAGGGGGGTCCCCGCCTTGCACGGTGTCCTGACCTGTGCTCACGAGGCACGGCTGGCTCCACTCCCTCTAGTTCTTCACTGATTTCCAAATGTTTACTGATCTGGTAGCTGGAAGCCCGTGACTCTCATGGGATGTTCTTGATTTGAAGGAGGCTGAAGGTACTCCTCGACGTTCGTCAGCTTCCCGTGTCCCCTCTGCACTGCTAACCATCCTGGGGCAGCGCCCACTCTGTACCGAGGTTGCTGCTGCTTGCTCACCGGTTGTCTGGGGGTTCTTTGTAAGCAATACTTTCTTCGCTTTATGCGCTGTTGTATTCTCATTAGTGGCTTACCTTTTTTTTTTTTTTTCTGATTAAGCTCTTTTTATTTTCTTAAGATTTTATTTGTTTATTTATTTTAGAGGTACAGTGCGAGTTGGGGAGGCACAGAGGGAGAGGGACAAGCAGACTCTGCTAAGTGCAGAACCTGATGTAGGGCTTGATCTGGGGACCCCGAGATCATGACTTGAGCCAAAATCAGGAGTCGGATGCTCAACTGACTGAGCCACCCGGTGCTCCTCTGGTTAAGTTCTGAATCTTCAGATCAATCTTTTCATTCACGGTTTCTAATCTCGTCTTACAAAGTCCTTCCGACAAATGTCACAGATAATGTAAATTGTAGGGTGTGAACCTGCGTGGGAGGGAGGCTTATGATGTGGCAGGCATCCCACTCCCTGGCTTCCCACCTGGGTGCTGGATGTCCCCGCAGAAGCCCATCCTTTCTGGCATGTCACCGGTTTCCACATGGTGTCGGTGTCCAGGGCTGTGGCTGCACGAAGGCCTCGATGCCCTGCTCACTGCCCCTTCTCTAGGAGCTGTCCTGTGGGCCAGCAAGCCCCCTCAACCCCGAAATCTGCAGGAGAAACAAGCCTGCTCCCCCGCAGCCTCACACCATCCGGAGCGGCTGACTCATCCCCTCCATCCCTCTGTCCCTGTGACTGCGGGTCGAATGTCTGTGCCGACTGCCATTTGACACACGTTCTGGGGCTGGTCTCACCCTGGCCACTACTTCCTGGTCACTCTCCTCTCTTGTCCTTCGGAGGCTATCCCAAACCTCATCCCCCTCTCCAAGTCCCAAGCCCCCTCAGCTTTTCTCAGCTGATGACATCCTCAGGCTAACAGCTGGGGAGGCCTCCAAACTCATCACCTGCACAGACCTCTGCTTCCCTCCAGTTGGCCGAATCCAGTCCCCTGGGACTCTGCTCTAGCCTTGTCCCCTTTCTCCCTGCATTTCAGTGTCTCGTCCTTTGCCCCCTATTTTTGAGCACGTCCCCAAATTTCTTTCATCTTTACCCAAGAAAAAGAAAAGACAGAAGTTCAAAATTCAGAGTGGAAACACATGAATGCTTTCCTCCATTTCTGCTAACCATGACAGAGGGTGGGGGCATTGCGAGGTGGTGTGCCCTCCCCATCCTGCCTCTGCACTCACCCCGTCAGCTTCAGCCGCTTCCTCCCTGCAGCTCTCTAAGCTCCTTCTCTAGGCCAGATAGTGTTCAGGGCTCCAGACCCGACCCTCCTGTGGCTTCTAGACCAGCCGCCTGGCTGACTCAGCCGTTCCTTATGCGGACGTACAACTTACCATTTTTGCTCTCTTCCGAATTCTCACTGTGGTCACTCCAGGCGGACCGGAGAGCTATTCTACACCCACTTGGCCGCAGAATCCTGTCCTCCTAGCCCCCAACCATGTCTCCACGGTAGCACCTTCTCCAGCTTCATTGTCGAACTGTCCTAATACCCTCTCTGCTGGCCTCCTCCCCGGCTCTCGTTCTTCACGCAGCTACCAGTTCTTTCTAGAGACCCGGGGACTTCTACTCCTGCTCGTTTCTGATGTTCTCCATCGCTACTGGAGAAAAGCCTCAACCCTGCCGTCACGTGACGTGCCAGCCCCCTGCACCCCATGCCCCACGGATAAGGGCATTTCTAGATCTCTCCTGGTGCACGGACGCTTTCCAGTCATGTGACTACACTCTTGTGAGGGTCACTTTTCTCCAGCTCGCCTGTAAATGCTTGCGGTAAAGCAGAGCTGCCATCTCCCAGAAAGGCATTCTAACATCACTCGCACCAGGCTCAGTGGTCTCCACGCCCCTCTGGCCGTTGGGAGGGGTGCCCATTCTAAAGGGTGTGGGGACACTCCATGATGCCACCTGTGGTAGGATGCTTGCATCTGTCCTCTCCCTGTCATGCTAACTAGCGGGGACAGCAAGGTCTTATGCACACCTGAGGGCCCAGACCCCGCCCCCCTCTGCCCCGACCAGCAGGCGTGGGCTCCTCCCACCGCACACAAAGTCCCCACTCACTGAGGAGGAAGGACGGGATACCCATCCGTTACCACAGCCTTGCCACAGGCTTGTGGAGTTTGCTGATATGCCCTTGCCCGTGAACTTCCTGCAGTCCTCCAATGTTCTCACGTGTTCAAGTTGGATTCTGAAGTCTATGGAAGCAAGCTGCTTCTGACATCTTTTTGTTAGTTTTGACTCTTCTTCAATTTCACAGATTTTATACAGTTAGACCACATAAAAGCACAGAGTACTCTCAACTCTTATTTACAAGGTGTAAAGTTTTTAATAACAAAGTTTTCATATCTTGAAAGAGGATATTAACTAGAGCAGAAATACTGTCCGTGATCGAGTCAGAGACAGCACAGACTATGTTCTATTTCGGGATTTTGCCGTCTACGAGAACCTCCAGGCAGCGTGTCTACATGCGACGACGACCCACTTCCGTGCGCTTCCCTGTGCTACACACTCTGTCGTGTCTTATCCCGCAGACGCGGGGGCAGTGGGGGAGAGCAGAGCTGGGGGTCCGCCCCCGGCCCCCTCCGCCCGGAAGCCGTGCTTGCCGGGGTCCTGCAACCGCCTCAGGATCGATTATCTTCGACGATGATAGTTCTGGGGAAGGGCTCGAGTTCGACAAATATGTACCGAAATTCATACTCGCCACTTTCTGGGTTCTGAAAAACACACACATTTCCAGGTGTGACTTTTGTCGCCAGGGCTCATGCCCCGCCCCCGCCGAGCCCTCGGCCGCACACCTCCTTCACTTCCAGGTGCACGGTTCCTTGCTTCCCAGGCTCAGAGCCCTGGATGTAGAACTTCACCCGCATGTGTTTCAGCCCGTCCTTCACATATTCGATGAAACTGTCGGGAACCAAAGAGCACAGCTGCAATTCCCGTCTTTCAGAAACGACCCCCAGCTTCCCCGACCCCCGCGAAGCGCAGTACCTGACGTGCTGCCTCCGCCCACGGCGCGTCACCTCCCCGTAGCCCTTCACGGGCTCGCCCAAGACGCTGATGACCTGTGGAACAGACGCAGCGCGGGACGCGGTAAGGCCTCCGCCTTTCAGGCTTCCCTGGGAAATATTTTCTGAGAAACCAAGTGATTTTTTAAGGAAACAAATCATTAAGCCTGGGACCCTCTCAAGACGACAAGTCCAACGATGGAGAAACCGCCCCAACAAGTATGTCTTTCCCGTAGACACTGAAGTCAGTGAGACTGTGGTGTGACCCACGGCTTCGCAGCAGGTGTTCCTACTTCCCACAGACACCAGGCACAACGAGGCGGGCAAGGGTTTAAACACACATTGGAACATTTTTCGTGAAATGATTCTCATAGGCTCTAATGCTCAAAGCTACAAGAGCAAGACAACTCTCTGAGTCACTAAAGACAGTCAAAGAAACCGAGTGCAGGCTTCCCCGGCTCTCCAAAAGTTTGCTTTACGGCTTCTCTTCAAAGAAGAACCTATGCGAGTACATGTCTTTGCTAACTGAACAAAACCCAAAGGTTTCTCGCTTTCCAGAACTGGTGGCTGGGCCTCACTTCACGCCCCCCACTCAGGAGCGCTTCCACTGGAGCGCACCACCCTCAGATGCCCGGGAGCCTCCAATGACCAGACAACAAGCCAGATCTAGAAGCATGAAACCATGATTCCTAATGGGAAAATTGACCATGACGTGGAAATGTAGCTCTTCCCGAATTTAAAGGGCAAATACTTTGGAGTCTTTCCAAAAACGTAACTGGAGCCTTCCTTAGTCCCTGCGCAGTTCCCCCTTTCTCAGAGGTGTGTCTCCCTGCCTCCTCCTCCATGGTTCCCGGATGGCTCAGAGTCTGATGATAAGAATCAACAGACTGAGAGAGCAAGAGGCCGGAGCCGGACAGCCTGGGGTCTCCTCTCAGACAGGACTAGAAAATGGGTGGAGCGAGCGGGGGCAGGGCCCTGGGGACACCAGCCAGGCACTTGAGACTTCATTCGTCTCCCATCCCAGGGTGATGCGAGTTGTCTCTCACACACCTCGGTCTGTGAGAAGGTGCCGAGAGTTTTTGGTGCTATCTGCGGTTTTCTTCTGAGGTATACAGGCTAAGATTTCAATGAGTCATATTTGTCCCTGCTGAAGCTTTCCAGCCAGAGAGCAGGAACTCTGGCGTACGATGGCTGTGCTGGCTTTCTGTCTGTGAGTGAAAGCAGCACGGAAAGTCCTCCTTCTGGCAGAACCCTTAAGAGCATGTGGGCAACTTTTCTGGACGCCAGCCTGCCCCCAGGTACTGCTCTGGGCCTGCTGCGCTGAGGAGCATAAGCTTTGGAGTCACACAGATGTGTGCTTGGGTCCTGGCTGTCCTGCTTACAGCGCGGCAATCTTGGTCGAGTTAGCTCATCTCTGGAGTGTCGGCCTCCCCTTCTGCCAATGGGACAGTCGTAGTATTTAACAACAATGGCTTCCGTGAGAGCCAAGAACGACGAGGCACTGAGTGTGGTGCTTGGTGCCTTCAGTGAGTGTCAATAATTACTGCTATGATCATAGGGTCATGAATCAGGTTTTTTACAGGCCTAGGAACTTACCACAGGAGTTTAATACTCTGGCAAGGTCTACGGGTTTAATATCTCTGACAAGTGACCCTCTGTAATATCAGGATGAACAGTGCTACACAGACTTCTGGGTGGTCCTAAAGCATTTCCAGTACAGAACAGAGAGCTGATACCATAATCACAATCCAACTGTGTGACTCATATGACTTTATTACCATACAAACACCACTAGTCTCAGAACCAGTATGTGTGTTCTGCTGTGTTCTATGTTCCCCACCCCGGCCCTGGGATTTTTCCTGATCTTCAGTGTGTGCGGGACTCCACCTGGAAAACTAACCTCAGGGTGTGATCTGCACTTTTCTAAGGCTTTCCCGTAGACCTTATTAGGACTCCATGGAGAAAAAAGTTCTTTGAAAACTGTGTAAAACAAGCCACCTGCAAATCACAGAAAAAGAAGATCAGGCAAAGCAAGAACGAGTCAAATGTGAAGTCACAAAGGGTTTAGGGGTCGTTACTGTACTTGCTGTGATCAACCTGTGATACTGATCCCAAAGAGCACCACCATCAAGTAGGTGAAGTCTCTTCCGGCTTCTTTCACTGTGGAGAGAGAGCACGCCGGAGTCAGACGTGGGCCCGACAGGGGCAGCGCACGCGGCTTCAGCGTTCCTAGCATGAATCGGGGCATGTGGATCCGGGACCCATGGCGGGTCTGCATGTGCTCTAGGGCGGCTGCTCCCAAGCCTCCCTGTGAATCAGAACCACCTGAAGAAAGTTTTCAAAAGAACCTCAGCAGAGTTCTGGGCCACGGAATCGTACTTTATTTGGTATTATCATTTTAATACTCTTCACTTTCTAAGATGAACAAACACCTGAACAAGGATCCAGGCCCCCGGCGGGAAAACATGCTACAGACTGGGCAGCGCTGGACACGTTCTGCTGCTCCCAGATCGAGTGTTTGCTTTGTCAGCTGCGGCCCAAGGGCTGGAAACAGGCCTGGACTCTGACAGTCACTTCCCACGCCGGTGCGCCCCCACTGGCTGCACACACAGCACTAACAACAAACTCAGAGCGCTGGGAACGAACGAACTTAGAACACGAGGAGCCTGCAGACACGGCGTCTCTACTGAGAAGGAGCAGCAGCAATGGTGTCTAGGAACGGGGCACAGACAACAGTGTATGTGTACGGTCTCGCTTAGGGTTCGTGAGCCTTCCTACTTGTTATCACCTTGTTTTAAGGGACCCGGACCTTCTGGATTTGGGCTGTCCCATACAGTAACCATACACCACGCATGGCTATTTGAGTTTAATTTTACAATTAACTTAAAATTAAATAAACACTCAGCCCTCAATCACACCAGCAACACTTCAAGTGCCGAACAGACGCATGTGGCTAGTGGCTACCATACAGAGACCACATACAGGTAGAACATTTCCATCCCCATGCTAAGTTTTATTTGGACAATGCTGCTGTGGACATTCTGCAACACAGCACATCTGTCCTTTCTATTCAAGCCATATTAGTCAGAGCCCAGAGTAACAAGGAGCATGTGTCAGGAAGCTTGATGGACACATGCACTCTAAGTGTATGTGTGTGGGGGAGATGAGCCCAGAACACAGATCCAGGGCTCACCAACCACATAAATACAACTCTTAGGGGTACACTGCATGGGGCATGTTAAGACACCCCACCCCAAATGAAAGAAACTACTGCATCCCATACCACGATGTGTGGTAGGTCCCTCTGGACTCTGTGGGCAACATATCCCCCATTTGGGAACACTGCTCCCACTCAGTCACTGAGTCATCAGGAAGGCTGTCGCCTTTGAATGGGGGTACAGATGAGGACAGGACTCTGCAGCAGGACCCATCTGCAGTGGAAGCAGTAGTGCTGCTGGAGCCAGATGACTTGACACCTGCTGTTGGACAGTTTGTGCCTTTGCCCTCTGCATATAGGCTGTCCATTCGTGCTGCACTTCCAATCATCCCCCCCAACCCTGTTCAGGCTATCGTGGTCAAATGATTGTGTACATGTTCTCATGTTCAGCAGATTACAAACCATTGATAGGATACAGTTTTGTTTTGTTTTGGTTAATGTTGTCAAAAACTATATGTATCGAAATGACATAGAGCAAAATAATCGCAATAGTCATCTTTGCACGGTATAATCACGGATGTCTCAACCGTTTGCTTCCTTTTTACTTTTTTTTTTTTTACAGATTATTTTGAAAAAAAAAAACATTAAATTCATTAGCTCATCTGTGAAAACTCTGACTTTTCCTGACAGAATTACATTTTGTCTTTCCTATTATCTGTGTTCTTTCTATTGCTGCCCACGTCACCCAGGCTAAATGTTGTTTTGAACATCTTTAATTCTGTAGCATGACAAGTCTATCTCAACATCTGGGCTCAGAAGTCATTCAAGGGCAGCGCTGAGTTGACCTGCCTGAGCTGATCCCTATGGATTATGCCTCATAATCCATATTCATTCCACCCAATTACCCCGTATCTATCCTATGCTCCCTGGTACTCTCTTTGTAGCACAGTTACTGTGTAATCACTGTTTCACACTCTGTATCTACTTTTTCCTTCATTAAGTGCTCATCCATTTGTGTACAGGAATTCCCTGGCACACCCATTAGCATCCGTTCAAGTGTCAAGCACAGAGAAAATGGAAACTCAAGAAATACTCGTGAGTGGTTGGTTGTTCTAAAGAGTACTGACATGGCTATTAGAAAATTAAGATTAGGAAAATGTGGTTTTAACTTTCTTTTGTATGAAACTGGGAAAGTGTGCCTCATATATAGAGTTTTAATGTCCCTCGATGGAGTGAATAGGAAATTCAAAGGAGATGAGATGGCATCTGTGAAATCTACTAACTTATTATAAACTTCTAAATAATGGCTAAGGTTTACACAGCTCCACACTAAAACTAACCGAAGTTGAGAAAATGTTTCTAGACATAATTCAACAAAGTTATGTAAAAACCAACTTTGAAATCGAAGTCTGTGAAGAAAACTGCAGGTCTATATTCTCAAATTCTGGACCGTGTTGCACGGTCCTACCTTCCAATTTGTGTGACTTGTTTTTCTATTTTTAGCACCGAACCTGTGTCAAACAACACTGGCAGCTCCCGCCACGCTGGCCGAAAGACTGATCACTCCCGTTACCTTTCTGTGACGTTGAGACGACGGTTTCCCCTCTCTGACTGTGCACAGACACCTGTTTGCTGCTGTCGTCCCCTACCCTCTGGGCACTCTGCCCCTGCGTCCAGAGGGTCTTCTGGACGACTCCAAGGAGACACTTCGGTAGCCCCGTTCTCTTTCGCTCTTGCAGACCCCAGCTCAAGCTGGGCGCAGTCTTCAAGCAAGCTTTGTTAAGCACTAAGTGTGGCGGGAACAGCCGCTTCCCCGACGACCTGCGCATCCTCTCCGCACACTGTGCAGCTCGTAAGAAAGTACAGATCATGATTACAGGAAAATGCTCCGCTTTGGGAAGGTGCCAACAACGTCCAGCAAAGCTTCACTACCCAATACACACGCAGCCGGGGTGTACTCAGAGCCACACAGTCACACCGGCGATTCTGCACGGCGTGTTCGGCAAAAACGTTAGCTCACGAAAGAGGCTCGTCCACCTCCTCTTCCCTTCCGAGCTCTTTTTACTCGAATTAAAGTGCTTTAATTACCTTCCGTACTGACATTCACACACTATCCGCCATGCCTCTGCAAAGTAACCTGGGAAGCCGCGAGGAGTCCTGGGAATAGTAGTTTCAGGCCTTCACTCTTCACAAAACTACCGCGGGGGGGGGGGGGGGGGGGGGGGGGGGGAGGGGGACAAACACCCCCCCGCGGGGGGGGGGGGGCCCGCCCGCGCCCCCCCCCCCCCCCCCCCCCCGGGTCCCCTCCGCTGGCCCGGCCCGTTTTGGGGGCGGGGGGGGGGGGGGGGCGTGATCAAGCCACTGACGAAAATCGAATTAGCGATTACAAGCTGGATGTTCTTGTGTCCCTCCGAGACGGCTTTAAACTGGGAAATTCTCGGTCTGATTGAGGCTTTGCTATTCCTCATGGGCAAATGATGTAGCCTTTGCGTTTCAGTTTCGCCCCCAGGAAACTGGTCAGGAAGGAACACAAACTTCCCCAGAGCCAGCACGTGGGGAGGGGCGAGGCCGTCGCAGTGCCCAACGCCAGTGGCCAAAAGTCAGAGGCCCCCTTGCCGCGGGGCGTCCTCAGCATCAGGCCGGGGGACGTACGAAGAAGCACGGCTCCCGAAGTTTCTAGAACAGCTCCTGAGGCCGAAAGAGAGGTGGTGTTCCCCTCCGCCCCGCCCCTACGTACACGCGCCGGCGTCGGGTGGGCGTGGCGCCGGGCGGCGCGCTCCTTCCTCCGACCGCCGCTCCGCCTCGGGCGCGCCGCCGGGTCTCCATGGCGACGGGACGCGGCCGGCTCCTGCAGCTGTACTGGCGCGGCCTCCAGGCGCGGCGTTTGCCGCCTGGCGGCGTCGGCGCGGCCCTGGGGCCCGACGGCGAGGCTGCCGGGCCCGCCGGGTTCAGGTGACTGTCCTGGGGCCGCGGGTCGGGTCACTACCCCGCCACCCTTCCCCCCTACTTTCCTCCGTGGGCCCCGCGCGGCGTGTTGCTCGCGGCTCTTGGTGGTGCGGGAGAGGTTTGAAGCCGCGGGCGGAAGTTTCCTCAGCCTGGAGACGTGCGGTTTCCGCCGGTCCTGGTCCTAGCAGACTACTTCCCCGGAACAGTCTCCCTCCTCCCTCCGTTCAGTTCTCGGCCCTGTGGGGACCTGGGAGCCTCCGCGCGGCGCCTCGCGCCCCGCCGCACGGATGCGCTGCGCCTGTGGGCCGGTGCGGTCCCCGGAGGGGCGGGGAGGGCGCCCGGGCAGAGCGCGTCCTCCAAGCCGCTTGCTCCTTCTGGGGCCGGAAATCACTTTTCTCCTCCTCATGAGTTTGTAAGTTAGGGAAGCGGACTCTCCTCAGGAGAAGGTTCCGCGTTTCGCTCCCGCCCATGACTGCTGGATGGACGCCACACCCCGCAGCAGGGAATATGGTGGTGGTGGTTGCGGGGCGGGGGTCGGCGAGCGCGCGTTCCCGGGGCAGCCTCTGCGCTTCCACCCTCCAGGAGGCCTGCTCTGCGCTTTCCTTCCTCCCTCCTCTTTGGAGAGAGAAAGTTGGGGAGGGCAGAGGGAGAGGAGAGAGAGGGAGAGAGTCTTCAGCAGGCTCCGCCCGCCCAGGGCAGAGTCCCACCGCGGAGCTCAAGCTCGCAGCCCGAGAGCGTGGCCCAGGCTGAAACCGAGTCGGCAAACCCCGCAGGGAGGCCTGCCGACAGCCCCTCGTTGGTGTTCAGCCCCCTGTCCCCTTCTGCCCGTCTTTGGGACCAAGGGCTGGGCTGGTGGTCTTGTCCCTTCGTCTAGAGCCCGTCTGCTACGTTTCTCTTGGGCACCCTGGTTCTGAGGGGGTCCTCTTCTGCAGGGAGAGAAGGTCACGTTGAGGAGATGCGGAGGGGCGGGCAGCAGGAGGCTGCAGGTGCGCTCCGAAAGGATGTTCAGCTTTACTCCAAGGGTAATGGTTCATTTCTCAGCGCAAAATCTATCCGGGGGAGGTGTCCGTGCGCTATCGCGCTACCTTATTACATTCTTCCCATTTTATGGTGCGTGGTTCCTAGCTTTATACCCCTCATCCCAGTATTTGCCAGGTAGAGGGACAATACAAAGAACAGTTTGCATTCTTGAGATTCCTTTTGCGTGCAAGTCCTTATGATTTGTAAGATACAAAAAACACATGTATTCTGCCTTCTAATAAACCAAATGTCTGTGTTTACCTATAAAAATGGTTCTGTTATTTAACAGTTCAGTAACTTAAATTACTTCTTGTTTTCCCGAATCTTCAGGCTATGGCCCCATGGTCGTCCTAGAATCCATTACCCACTCACTCTGGTTTCAGAAGTGGTGCTCTGCCCCTTCGTATTATGGTGATGGTTGGTTCTGGAGAATAGTGCTAGGCATACCACAAGCCTCGTGACAACTGAAACGGGGACGGTGCCTCCAGAACTTCTGTAGGAGAGGAACAGTGGCATTTAACTTGGAACCTTGAACTTTAAATCAATTGGCGACGATTACTAAAATTACTCTTTATATAGAGAGCTCTATCAGTGGGGAGCAAGAGGATTTTTATGTGATGAATCTTGTTACTTTGTAAGTTGAGTGAACTACCTGGTGATGACTTAGAGTGCCTGGCATGGGAGCTCGAATGTCAGCCTGTAATTTGGTGAGGTCTCCATTCTTTTTTTTTTTTTTTAAGATTTTATTTATTTGACAGAGAGAGAGGTCACAAGTAGGCAGAGAGGCAGGCAGAGAGAGGGGGGAAGCAGGCTCCCCAATGAGCAGAGAGCCCGATGTGGGGCTTGATCCCAGGACCCTGGGATCATGACCTGAGTTGAAGGCAGAGGCTTTAACCCACTGAGCCATCCAGGCACCCCGAGGTCTCCATTCTTTATGGGGAAGAACAATCAGCTGTCAAGAATGATTGCAGATTGTCTAAGTAGGTGGTGACTTTATTGTCTCACTGCAGAAAAATTAGACTTTGATAAGGAATCACTAGCTCCCTTTTTAATGAAAAAATGTGAACAAGTGTGAATGTTATAAACTGTTAGGAAAATAGCAGAAAGGATATTAGGTTGGCTTAATTTCTGCTTGGTCTAGTTTCTTTGGTTTATCAAATATCAAAAATCAGTGTCAGAAGATAATTTTTTTCTTTTTTTTAAGAAGGCAAGTTTTAAAATATCGAATTTATTCAAAGCAATTGGACAAAATCTATTACTTAAAAACAGTGGTTTTAAACCAAATGTCATTTTACTAATTATGTCAGCTAAGTATGTGCTTAATTTTATAGACCCATAAATCAATGTGAGGACATGCATGGAATCTACTGATTTGTTAATTGTGTGGCCCTTGAAAACGTGCAGTTGGTTTATTTTATGGAGAAATGGAGATGTACTTTTAGTAATACCAAAAGCAATAGTGATAAGATATAGAGTATAATATAATACGGTCGGAAGAGCTCTGGAGGGACAGTCGGGAGATGAGAGTCTCTGGGGCTCTTGGCCTCTAGCTTGAGACCTTTAATGAGTCGCTGTAAGTGCCTTGTTAGAACTGTAGTTCTAACTGATTTGTGAAATAGGGATTCATGAGATCTCTTTTAATTATGGAAAAATTAAACAGTAACAGGCTGTACTTCTCAAACATGTAGGTGCCAGTGGGCAGGAAATGCACCGGGCATCCTCCTGACATGTAAAACGAATGCAGTGGCCGTGGGAAAAATGTTAAGTAATTTAACTTTTAAGTAATATAATACATTTGTATAATAAGACAACCACAGGTAAGTATCCAGTACAATGCAACATTTGCATTAATTTTTAAGATCAAGTAGGAGATTTTTTTTTTTTAAAGATTTTATTTATTTATTTGACAGAGAGCACAAGTAGGCAGAGAGGCAGGCAGAGAGAGGGAGCGGGAAGCAGGCTCCCTGCTGAGCAGAGAGCCTGATAAAGGGCTCGATCCCAGGACCCTGAGATCATGACCTGAGCTGAAGGCAAAAGCTTAACCCACTGAGCCACCCAGGTGCACCTCAAGTAGGAGATTTCAAAGGACTTTTGAGCTTTCTGCAGCTGTGTCCCCAGATTTCAGGGCCACTGGTAATCCAGAATGGTGCGAATGTCTTTGGAACCACTGCTACTGCCCAAGGATTGTGCTCACACACTGTGAGTCCGAGGTCTCTTGTGTATGGGATTCTCAGTTTTGAAATTAAAACTGCTGAAGTCGCACAGTTTATTGCATATTCAACATATTAAGAAATAATAGAAAATATGTGGAATTCTGTCACCTCAACTCTCCAGCCCCCATTTAAAAACAACCACCACCCCAAAACCTTATAACCTTGCAATCCTGTGAATCAGGCGTATCACTGGTTAATATCTTGTCTTTCCTTCCAGACCTTTTTCCTTTGTGCATGTTTAGTTTTTCTCTTAAGAGACAAATTCAAAAATATGATTATGTAGTGTATCCTGATATAACCTTTTTTCAACTGATCTGTTATTAATGTAGCAGGTATTTATTGACTGTCTCTGTACGCCAGGCATGTTGTGGGTGAAGAATGAGGAGTGAACAAGACTTACGCAAAAGACCTGCGGATGTGCAGCTTGCAGTTCCAGTGATGTGAGCGAAGTAGATAAGATGTGTAGTGACGGATGGTGATATGTGCTAAGCAAAAAAGGAAGGAGGGGGCTTAAAGTATGTGCGCGTGTATGTGGCGTGTGCTCGTGTGCACACGTGCGTGTGTGTGTGTGTAGTGTGGGTCGGAGTTTGAGAGGGAACAGCCAAAGGAGTTGTCAGTGAGATGGTGGCATTTGCACGCATACCTGAAGGAGGTGAGGGACCCTCCATGCAGACATCTGGAAGACGTCCTGAGCTTGTGTCTAGCGCAGACACTTCCGCTGTGTTGAAATGCCCGTTTCTTGGCTGAGCGTTGCTCACGGTATGGAGCCAGTCCACTTCATCAGTCCCCGTCCTGTCCTTGGAAATTCGTCAGTGTAGACAGATCTGAGATGGACTTTCTCGAGTCACATATTTGGGCTTATTTTCTTGCTTTGGGATATATTTTGTACAAGTGAAATTCCTGGCTTAAAAGAATACATGTGCCTTTTAAGGCTCTTGACAAACACTCCCAGATTTGGCTTCCATATTGTTTATACCAGTTTGCGCTCCCAGCAGTGACGGGGTGTTCTTTATTTGGTCTTGGCCAGTTTGCTAGATTGAAACAGATCGATACAGCGTATTAATTTACTTTTCTTCGACTCCCTTGGAAAAGACTTAGGGTGTAATAGATTTTATTTTTTTGACACTTTTTGATTGCAGAAATATGTATGGGAAAAAGCTGTTATCAATTTACTAATGCTTTTTTTTTTAAAGATTTTATTTATTTATCAGAGAAAGAGAGCACAAGCAGAGGGAGTAGCAGGCAGAGGGAGAAGCAGACTCCCTGCTGAGCAGGGAGGCTGAGGCAGGGCTCATTCCAGGACCCTGAGATCATGACTTAAGCCGAAGGCAGATGCTTAACCAACTGAGCCGCCCAGACATCCCAATTTACTAAGGCTTTTAAGCAAATTTATATTTGAGGACTCCAGCAGTATTCATTTAAGTTAAGGAAGCTTTCCTCAGTCTCTGCGTACAGCGTATAGATATAGACCTCCAGGCTTCTTGGCATGACCGTTCATACTGCCAGGGCTCTAAGGGTCACTGGCTGGGAAGTCCCGACAGGTAGTATTATTTGATGGAGAAGTAATAGAAATGCCTTTTACTTAAAGCTTATGTGTTAGAACCCTTTGTCAACTAAAGGTATTCATTTGATCTTGGAATATGTAATACACATTGGCACAGAATTTTCAAGAAGCTGACCACTTAAAATAAGGAATGCTTTTAAATCACTTAAAATGCATATGTTTAAAGATTGTGTATTGTGTTGAATGGTGTCCCTCAAATTCATGCTCACCCAGAACCCTAGGATGTGATTTTATTTGGAAATGGGGTCTTTGCAGATGTAGTTAGTTAAGATGAGGTCACACTGGGTTAGGATGTGACTGGCGTCCTGATAAGAAGAGCCGGAGACACATAGGGAAGATGGTAGGGTGAAGATGGAGGTTAGAGCTGGCCAGCCTAGTGGCCATGAGCTGAGGAACACCAACGATTGTCACCAACCACCAGAAGCTGGAAGAGGCAAGGGAGGATTCTTCCCTGGAGACTTTGTGGAGGGAGCATGGCCCTCCCAACACCTTGACTTTGGACTTTCGGCCTCTAGGACTGATACAATACATTTCCGTCGTTTTAAGTCAGCTAGTTTGAGTCAGTTTGTTAAGGCTGCCCTAGGACACTTAACACAATTAGGAAATTGTATTTTACTTCTTACTATTGTCTTAGAGCCAGGTCCGTGGAGTTGAAGCTTTTCTTTTGTGGAAAGCTTTGCTTAAGTAGTACTTTCAACAGGAATACAAAGATCGAGTGCATAGGTGGAAATCTCTGAATAAAGGGGGAGGACATGGCAGAGCTTTCCAAAGGAGGGCCTCTTCCGCCTGCTCTCGTTCCCTTCCTGTTCTACTGGGCACAGATTGGGTATCACTGGTTTTGCCTAGCTTCTTTGCGTTCCCAAGAACTCACTGGCACGTTGAGTGTCTTTCGTAGAAGCTGGCATGGAGAGGCCTGGGGAGCCAGTGTTTTTTACCTTGGTGAATTTGTTACCTTCCAGGATCTGGAGAGATTCACCATGTCCCTCCTGTCCCAGGCGGAGGTGCCAGTGTGCAGATGCTAGCTCGTGTTTATCCAGGGCTGATCACGACCAGCATGATGGCTGACGTGATACAGACAAACCTATAAAGGGAGGACAGACTCATTCTCTGGCTGCTCAGAAGCCCATGGGGAATCATCAGGCATTTGAGTGCTTGCGGGTGTGCACATGGTGGCGTGCCCATTTCCACGTGGGTTTCAGGTTGTGCTGGGTTGTGGGCTATATGGTCCCTGTACCTCTGAGGGGTGGGCCATGCTGGGGATCTCGGACCATCCTCTGTTCAGATCCATCCCTGGGGCTTTGGTTCTTCCACGTCCAGAGAGATTACTGCCGTTCCTTCCAACATCTCATGGCCCTCATTTTGCCTCCAGTTATTGCCCATATCCTTTCTGATTGTTAGTCCAAATATATCCAGGGAATCGGCTTGGTAGGAAAAATGGGGGCGGGTGCTAAACTCTTGGTGAACGAAGTACGTACTTGGAGCAAAGGCGCACTGGTGAACTGGGCAAGTGGAACCTATCCCCTAGGTTTTAGTCACACGCTGGGTGGGAGGCGGGTCAGTAATTGATGTATGTGTGTTTGTGTGTGTGGTCAAGAAGCAGCTTCCAAAGCTTTCCAAGATAACTAGCGTCCCCACCAGTAGCTCTGTCTGTGGGCTGCTGCCTGGAAACTGAAGGCTACGGGCCCTGTGCCTTCTTGGGTTTCTGGCCGGGTATCAGATCCCTGCGGAGCCACGGTGGAGCAGAGCTGGTTCGGAGGGCTGTTTTTAATAAAAATGTATTTCAGGAACTTCTGAAAAGAACTAACTGCATAAAATAGTATATCTTACTTCATTGAATCCTAAAAGCCGTTGATTGTAAGATTTACTATTTTTTTGTACCACTAAAATAAAAAAAATAGATGGCCAGTTAAAGTATATTCCATTGAAAGTGAGATACTTAAAATGTGAAAAAAATTGGAGCAGATTACTTAGTGTTTCCACGGCTATGATCGCCAGAGCTAGGGTTGGAGCATTACCATCTCTCAAAGACCCGAAAAGCTGCAGATTATGTGGGCAGTTCTGGTTCACAAATCTGAGGTTTTTCTTACTTGACTGAGGCTGTTCTTTGTTAGGTTCCTGCTATTGCACTGTTGAAGCTGACCAGTTGATAACATTTTATTTTTTCCTTTTGTTCCATTAAATGAGTTTTACAGCACCTCTTTGATATGTTGACAGCCTATAAAAGCAAATATTTAATCTTCTTGTTTACTACACTTGATCTTATCCAAAGGGCCAGAAGCGATTTTTTGTTTAAAACACATCCGAGTGAGTCCAGGTTTCAGGCATGCTTACTCAGGACACATGGAATGTTTTCTAGTCCCTCTCCTGTCCCACCCCACTCCCCACTTCCTTATTTCTTTCCTTTCTTCTTTCTTTCTCTCCTTCCTTCCTCCTTTCCTTTCCCTTTCCCGAGATGAACTTTTACAGTGAGTCATTCTTGGAGTTTATGAACCCTTTACGGTTTTGTAGAGGGGATTGGACAGGTCATCTGTCATTCTAATTTGATTTTTCCGTCTTACCTTCAGAAAGGGACCAGGCACCAGGAGTGCAGGAAGGGCTGTCCTGAAGCAGTGTGCCCGGCGGGGAAAGTGCTGTGAGCAGCCCCCCAAAGACCAGCCGGTGTCTATGGAGAGGTGAGTCCTCATAGATGGCGCTCTTCTGGGGGGCTCTGGGGTGGAGTTCTTAGACAAAGTTCCAATGCTGTGCATACCAAATTGCTGTTCTGAGCTGAGAATAGAATTGCGTAGGAAGAAAGTACAACATGGAGAGTTTGCTGTGAGTCATCAGCCTGTCACCACTGTCATTATTAGACTAGGTTTATGAAGTGAACTTCTAAAAGTGACAAGTAAATTTTCCTTTTTAAAAAATGTTCTTCAAAATTATTCACGTTCTAGTTGATCAAAATGCTTGAAACCATGGAAAGGAGATTAAAGTGTGTTCTTCTAAAAGCTCCAGGGGCCTCTGGGTCTGTTAGCTTTCTGAGCTTTGCAAGTCCATTTTGCCCTGGCAAAGTTCTGCAGGATGTTTTTATTTTTTTTTAACTAATTGTTTGAACTTGATGCTGAGGTGGCTGTGGATTTGTGCTGTACTGACGCTTCTGGAGCACCAACTCTCTGCTAAGCATTGTCTGGCGCCTGAACATGTGTGGGCACTGCAGACGTTTCCGGTGGTGGGGGGGTAGGGCTCGCATAGTCTGTGTATCGCAAAATCCAGATTCAAACGTAAGTTGCCTGATCTCAAGTTCTGGGCTTTGATATTATAACTCAGCTACCAGAGTACATACTTTAAGGTGTTTTTAAAGAGAAATGAGAACTAAAAAAGAGTTAATTAAGGACAGCAATTTAAGCTTTAAACACTATACTCTGAGTACACTATCTGTCATACAATAATATGATACAAGAAATAGAACAAATATTCATTTGGTTTTTCTGTTTGTCAAATATCCGAGGACCTTCTCTGTACTAAATACTGTGCTCTGACACTTTGTGAGTTTCTAGGATTGTCCTGCTTCTCACTTTCCTGTCTCCTTCCCCATCCTCCCCCACCTCCATCCTCTGCAGTATGAAACAATTAGAATCCCACACAGAGTGACCCAGTATGGTGTGGATAGTGATTTTTCCAGCTTTGAGGATACCTCATGAACCATAGCTAAGAATGTCTTTGATCTCTATTGTTCTAACTATAAAGTGGGGGGTTTTCTGCTAGAAGTACAAGGAGAACCCTCCTCCCTTCATTATCTTAGTCTGCTGGGTAGGAAGGTGAACCTCTCTAATGGCCTTTGAATAGGATTTTAGTCTAATTAATTCTTCCTGGATAAGATTTGCCAGATACTTTTCTGAAATGTTTTATTTAAGCCCAGCTCTACATTTTTTTTAGATTACATTTGCTTATAAAATAATAACTATGAGTTTTTGTGCAACAGTTGAATCAAAATATGAAAACTGTGTGCGACGGGTAATCCGACGGGTAATCCAAATGGTCACAAAGTGTATTTTCTTGCAACTTTGCCATCTCTGCGCTAGCAACATTTTGCGGCTTAAAGTGTCTAATTTATTGACTCTGAATGTAAGGAATTTCATTTGGCAGGAGGGATTTAATTAATCCCTAAGCAAAACTGCTTGTTTAACGAACCAGGGAGTCTCTGGTTGAATATCCCCAAAGCTTCTGAGTGGGGGGAGCTCAGCCTGGTGATGCAGACCGGCAAGTCTTGAATTCGTCATCTTTCTCCGAGGATCCATTTCATTCTTTCTCACTATTGTTGGAATCTTAGGACTGATTATTTCCCTATGAAACATTTGGTAACCTGACTTTCATTATAATTTTAAAAAAGTAAAGTCATTGAAATCATAAGTGGAGATAGGGGCAAGCCATTTTAAATTGGCCGAAGGGTTTTACTGCCCCAGTTCTCTGTCCCCAGGCCCTCCACCCCTTGCCCCATAGTCTTCTGTGGCTTGCTTGCTTCCAGCCTCAGGTCCAAAGGTGCCCGTTCCTGACTTCCTAACGTTGGTAAGGCTTTCTGGACACGCTCAGGTTCTGATAGTTGTTTTGTAAAAGTGTAAGATCATAGAAATATATGGGGTATTGAGAATTCAGCTCAATGTCATTTATTTAGGCAATAAAGGAGAAAGGAAAAGAGAGTTCAAAAAATCTTATGGGGCTTGGAGTTTCCTTAAAGTGCTGGAGGAAAGTTTCAAGTGTGAGGATGTGTTGGAAGGGGGTGCATGAGGGGTGGTATGGGTTAGGTGGAAGATAAGTGGATATTTCCTATTCCAGTTTCTGCTTCCTCTCCTCCTCCTCCCCTTCCTCTCCCTCCTCCTCCTCCTTTTTTCTGAGGAGGAAGATTCTGTGTTACTTTTTAATGAATAGCTAAGAATCCATTCTTTTTCTCTTACTTCGTTTTATCTCATGGAAGAATGATGGGTACTTTCATGAGGGAGATAGGGAAGTCCTGCCTGTGGATTCACAGTGTATGAATATGGGTAACGTGCCAAGGGAGTTAGCTTGCCATGACTTTGGGTCTCTGGATTCGTTTAGGTCGTGAGGACTGTAGTAGCAGGACATTTCACTTGAGAAGCCAGTGGAAGATAAGGGTGCAGTTTGCCTCTCATACAGGAGGGGTGCTGGTCGCTCTCTGGTGGTGAACAGCCAGGTGTTTTCTGGGTAACTTTTAGCTCAAATGCTTGCCTGCCTCTCTGATTTTTTCCCCTCTCCCAGGATGCCCTCAGAAATCTTGCTGAAGATCTTTTCCTACTTGGATGCTGTGACCCTGCTGTGTGCTGGATGTGTGAACAGGCGCTTTTATCATCTGGCCAATGACAAGTAAGGAGAAAACCAAATCTCTCTGTCTTCTTTTGATGGTGTTTTGATAGAAGTCATGAAAACTAGTAAGACTGTTTTAACCAATTTTTTTTAAATTTAAAAGAATTAATTTTGAAAGTGTTTCTAGACACAGCTGTAGTATTTCTAATGCTTTACATGGTCAAATGGATATTCCCAGTGATTTGCATTTATGCACTTTAAAAAAAAAAGGAGTATCTTTGCATGAACTGAAAAAGATCAAACTTGTTATTGGTGTGCGCTTGTCTCCTGTATGGAAGACTGTATCTTCAGTGTCAGTATGTGTCAGTATGCACACAAGTGGGTTTCAGTGTGGGTTCAAGGGAAATAAGCCTGTTCTTGACAATAACTCTAGAAGGGATGTCAAGTAATTTTTGTGTCTCTTTCTTAATGACTCCTAATAGGAGGTGAAGACATTCACTAAAGCAAAGTGCAGTAAGGCATTTTCATGAAAGAGGTCAATTAAATATCCCAAACTAGCTTTTTCGGGGAGTTCTTACATTGTTAAAGGATAGAGTTCCGATTGCTCAATAAGTCGATAAATTATAAATAGCTTTGTTTCTCTAAACATCATCTCTCCCCACTGACCTTCACGGGCTCAGATGGTGTAGGCACTGGGCCTTCCAGTGGATTTGGGGCCATACCTCTAGTGATGTTCCTTGCATACTTTTCTTATTAATTATATGCCCATCCCACTTTCTTGGGAGTTGTCCTTTAAAAATCTGAGCTTCTGATGCAATTACCTGTGTGTTTGTTTTCTTATTATAAGAAATATCTTAATTGCATACATTGCATTTTATTTTTTTATTTTTTAAAGATTTTATTTGTTTACTTTAAAGAGCTAACGTGTGCACAAACATGAGCAGGGGAGTGGGGGAGAAGGAGAGAACCTCCAGCAGACTGTACCCTGAACGTGGAGCCTAACAAGGGGCTCCAAATCCCACGGCTCCAAGACCATGACTGGAGCCAAAACAGCGAGTCAGGCGCTCCTGCCACTCCTCCTGCTTGTGCTCTTTCAAGTAAATAAATAAAATCTTAAAAAAAAAAAAAAAATCAGGTGCTCCACCGGCTGAGTCACCTAGGCACCCCCCGCACATATTGAATGTTATTTTTAAGAGTCACTGTCTGATCTTATAGTCAGACTTCAAAAAGGGCACGTTAACACTTCATTAGAACAATAAATTGGGCCCATTTTGTCAACAGCTTGTTTGATTGAAGTGTGTGTGTGCCTGACTGGTAGTCAGAATAGCTAAATACGCTCTTGTCCTCAAATCCACCGTAGTCTTCTAACAGGATGGGGATCAAGAAATGAATGTGTCTGGGTTTTAAGTACTTGTTGAAGCATCTTATACTTGACATTTGTATTTTATAAATAATTACGTGGAACAATCCACACAGGATTTTAATTCTATAAAGAGTTCTTTTTCGGCTTCACCACGGTAAGCGCGGTCGGCTGACGTGCGGAAGCGGTTCTTCCTGCAGGTGGCACAGGTGGCACAGATGGCAGGTGTGGCGGTGCCCGAGGCTGCGTGGGGCCCGGGCGCGCGCTCGCGGGTCGGGAGCCGGCGCGTGCACGGGAGCAGAGTCCGCTCTGCTGCGTGCGGCGGCGCCCGGGTTCGCGGTGCGAATGACGAGGAACGTCGGTCCGCGGAAACCGGAACAAGCTTCTCTGTCAAGGGAGTTTATAAAACTGGCGGCTCAAGGGCTTTTGGCGAAATCGCGTCAGGTGTACCTCGACGGACCTCAGTCGTCGTCATTTTGCAGCTCTTAGCTCAGGTGGCAAAGGCCAGATGTTTCTGAACGAGACGATAAATACCCCAGGGCAGAAGACTTGGTGCGGAGGCTTCCGCGGGGAGAGAAGGGACCGGACGGTGCGGCCTGGAAAGAGTCGCGGGGGGTCCGGTTCGGGGTGTGTCTGCGGGGCCCCTCGCGGCTGCGGCAGTGCCGGGCTGCCCCGTTCTGGGGGGCACAGGCTTGCCTCCGGGGCGCGGGGGTCCCCAGCGCGGGGCCGCCTTCTCCTCGCTGCCTTTGGGCCGCGGCCACGTCGTGCCACGTGCAACGACGCCGGAGTGCGGAGACGGGGGTCAGCATGTCGTTGCGCTTATTCAGGTAAAGCGCACTTTTCACTGTAGGAAACTGAGTTTGGCCCCGCCTCAGTCTCCCCCAAGAGACTGTTCCCCAGTTTCTGTCTTTCCCTGAAGGCGACCTTTGGCTGTTGGCTGGGAGAGGCCTGCCTTGGGCTGGCTTCGCCCCCCGCCGCCGGCGCCAGCACTCCGAGCTCCTGGCCTCTGGGCGGGACAGGCGGGAGGGGCGCGGCTGGGGCTCTGCGCTGAATTGGGACCCAGCCTTGTGGCTGATGGGCTCTTTGCATTTGGGTAAATTACTTGGTTCCCTCAAGTTCGTTAGCTGTTACTGAAGAGGCCGAGAGCCCCGCAGGCAGGTGTGTGAGCTCTGGCAGAGGCTGCGGGGGCGGCCCCGGGGCTTCCGTCTCCTCAACAGACGCGGACGCGCCTGGGCTGCAGCTTCGCACGGGGGCTCCGTTACAGTGTCTGCTCGGTGGGGACAGTAATAGTAGCTACTGTCTGGGTTCGTTGATGATTAAACTAGTTAACCTTTACAAAGTCCCCAAATGAATGCTTAACACAGTGCTCAAAAAATACTGTGATTTTTTCTTTTTTCTTTTTTCGCTCATTATACAGCGAATTTTTTCTTTCTTCTCTTTGTGCAAGCGCAATGTGTTCCTTGTGGAAAAATTAAAACATAGAAATCAAAAATAACATACAATTCCATTGCTGCTGACATTTCTCTCTGTGTGTATGTGTATATGGTTCTCTTCTGATCTTTTGAAAAGGTACATACTTAAAAGTACACAATAGGAATCCCCAGGTGTATTTCTTGTTATCTCTCTGCAATCTGTTATTCCATTATTGCTGTAGAAAGGTAGTGGTTTGGAGATGCCAAAGACCATGAGATCACTCACTTCAACTTGACCCTGGGAAACAAGCTTTTCCTTTTAGTGTGTGTTTCTGGGGTTGGCGAATCTGAAACACTTACCTCAAGCTGCAGTTCACTGTAACACACAAGCGACTAAATGTTCGGTTTGATTTATTCGTGGACTCGGACTGTTTAAAAACGATCGTGCATCTCTGAGGTAATCTGTTGCTACTGCAGGGGCATGCCAGTGTCTCTTAGTTAACGTAGCTCCTCTTCTCCCCCAGTTTTATTTGGTTTAGAATCTATACAACTGCATTTTCACCTAAAAGATGTAACTGGAAAGTTAACTCAGCAGAGAAGACTGCTGTATCTATGAAGTCACTGTCGGTTGAGGATAAAGAAGCTGGATATTGGAAGAAAGAATTTATTACAAAGCAAAGAGCATCTGTAAAAGCTGCGCTCGCTCAGGTTCTCCAGCCTGTCAACCCGGACACAGGCCTTCCCGTCAAAACCAAAGAGGCCCTCAGGTACACGCGCCCCCTTGAGCCATGCACACCGGTTACTTGAGGCCCTGTTTAACATTTATGTGCCCGTCACTGTGGAAAGGATGACAGAAGCCCAGGGGACCCTGTGTGTGAGCACATAGGTGCAGCTTAGCCTGTAAGGGACCGTCTTTTGATAGATTTATATGTTCCTGTGCACCTGTTAGCCATATAGTATTTCTCAATTCCGTATACATGGCCCAGAGTTTATATGCGAAGCAGAAATAACCTCAGAATCTGCTGTAGTCAAGCAGGAGCACCCAGAGTACCCTTCCTTCTGGGCAGAACTCGTGTATTGCCAGTTCCGAGAACATGGGAGGCGTTCAGTGACTGTTTGATGGGTGAGGAGAAAAGCTCTGTAGAGGGAACCATTGATGGACTGAACATTTACGTTGGGTGCTTTTGGAGAACTTCAGCTTCGGCTTTTCAGGAATTAGATACTTTAGTGATGATATGTGTAGTCGACTTTAGCGGTTTTTTTGTTGTTGTTGTTTTGTTTTTTTCCTCCTGCAACGAGGCAATCATTTTTAGCTTTTCTTTCCCCAGAATATCTGGTTTATGTTGGGTAATTATATTGAAAGCAAAAAATGGACAAGAGTACGTCATGGAACACACTGACCTTTCCGTACATGATTCATCAGTGACAATTATGTGGTATGGCAAAAACTGGCCACAGATAGCCATGCTGTCAGCCTTAGATTTGTGTGGTGTGACACCAGTTTTTATGGACCGGTCTAAAACCCCCTCCAAAAATGGGTAAGTACTAATTCAACAGAACCTTTGGGTGAGAACATCTTAGGTGTAAATACTTGTACGTTAAAAATACCATCAGCATATTTTAATTTGATTTCATCTTAAAGACTTCTCGTGCATTGCAGATCACTATAGAATAGAAAAAGAATGGATTTTTAACATTTATGATTAGATCTAAATTTAGTGTCCTCATATGTTAGTTGTCTGTAACACAGAATAGTATTCTAGTTAGCAAAATTCCTAGGTGACTGATGGCTAACCTTTTGAGTCCTTAGTTTTAACCATTTTAACACAAAGATATACAAAGCTATTATATCTGTTTTTAGTAAATGGTACAGTAATCATAGTTTAAACATTAGGTCCTAAGGTAATGATTCTTACTTTTATGTGCCTTTCTGTTGGACTGACTGGATGTGTGACCTTGGGCAAGTGGCTTAGCCTCTCTGTGCCTCAGCTTTCCCATGTGTGGAAGGGGTTGGTCATGATGGCGAGGAGTGCTGAGTGTGTGTGGCTGTTGTGAAGAGGACCAGAAGGTTTCACTGTCAAGTGCATTAGTCAGATCCGTGGGTGTGATGATGTGCACCGAGTCCTCACTTAGGGCTCTGTGCTGCGTCCACATGCATTCCAGGTCTCTCCCGCTCACTCTGCTGGTCATTAGTCCCTTTCTCCTAAAAGCCAGTTGCTGCCTTCTCTACTGTCCTGACCTCTGAGCGCGAGTGCAGCTACATAGAAGGCATGGCGAACGTAGAGGTACACAGGTCATAGCTGCCTTTTCCAGGGTTGGTTTCCTGCCCTCGACTGCCTCCTTCACTGCCTGGCATCCATTGACGTTGCCATGGCATTTACCAGGCGTTGTTCCTGCCAGCCTGCGTGCTGGGGTTCCACCCCAGGTTTCTCTCACACGTCACGTGTGTCCTTGGGATGGAAGGTATTATCGTGGTGTGAGAGCGTTCTTTCACAGCTTCCCTGGACACAGACACATTTTTACAACTTTGTAACCCGGGACCTTGTTTTAGTTTCAGCTCTCTGGTGCTGATTCTTTGAGGATGTTTCAGGGTTAGGTTTCTCCTTGTGCTGGGAATGTGAGCTCTGGGCTTCTCAGTGGTGATAAAGCTGGTCTCATTGTATTCTGAAAATAAACTTAATGCTACTAAGAATAACACATGAATGATTTTCCCTGATTACGTTACTGAAGATATTTCGGAAGCATGTTCACTTTTATAATTGGTACTTGTATTTGGATAAATCTCTAAAATTTCGTATGGTATCATGATAGACACCAGATTTTTCTAAGATCGTGTTTAGTTTCATGCACTAGGAAATGGTGTTTGGAGAATCAGTCCACTGTCTCTGTACTAATACAAACAACATGTTACTTGGCATATCACGAAATATTATTTATAGTATTAGGACAACATTATTAACATCAATTAAGATGATCATGGAAGACGAAGTGGATAGGCTTGAACTGTAAAGCTGAGTTAAAGCTATTTTGCTCCTTAAAACTGCCATATGAGTCAGGAATCCTAGATACCGTGCAGTGGAAGAAGTGCTAGGATTCATCGGGAAAATTGATTTAGTGTAATTTATTTCCATTAAAACTCAGTGGACTTCAGAAAGTGTTTGATAAGCTGTGGGGAACAGACATTGAAAGTGTTTTTTAGGAATCTGTTTTGAGGGGCTCTTTGTTGCAAGTGGGAGAGTGAATGCTTTTATCATGCAGAAATTCTCACATGCATCTGTGTGACAGCAAAGGAGAAACTTGGTGATTGTTATTTGAGTCTTTTTTGTTTCCTCCATGAGGAAATTTTCAAGAATAGTGAAAGCCTTACTTTATGTAATTTGCAATTTGAATTTTCCTGTATTTGGTACCTTTCTAGTCAGACTCATTAAATTTTCTTCTCTGCAAGTGTTCTCCATGCTGTGATTTATGCTATATGTCTCCAAGATATTAGCCTTCGTTTCTCCTCTCTGTGTGGCCTGTGAGGCCGAGGCACATAGGGACTTCGCCTATTCTCTCTGGAGTCTGTTTAAACTGCTGTGCAGCTGTGGTATGACTATCTCCTTTTAGGCCCACTGAAGAGTGTGAGAGGAGGGTTTTCATGCCCTGCTCGGCCTCATCTGTCCACACTGATAACCATAGAGGCAGTGACTACCATTTCTGAGCACCTTGGGGTTGGATCTAAGGTTTTCTTGATGCCAGACTTAGGTTCCTAACCCTGTGTTTGGCTTTCTCCCTGTGTATTCTACCTAACTGGGGTGTATTTTTAGGTCACACATCACACACACACTCGCCGACCACCACTCCCTAACTGTGGTTTTCAGCCCAAAAAGTCCTTTGAAGATTGAGGGAGAGACGAGGGTAGTCTGGGAGCTGCTGATTTGGTTCTGATGCTTAAAGCCTCCCCCTCTCACGCTCCCACTTGGAAACAGTGCCACCGCAGAACTCCTTAGTTTTCTGATTCTTTTACTAAGTGAATATTTGAATACCTTTCTCCTGCCAGCTGGTGTCTTAGGTGCTGGAGGAGAATGCTGGAAGGCCACATGGCCCCAGCTCCATAGGGACTTGCCTCAAATGGTAAGCTATGTTCATTGGCCACTGAGAGCTCACCTGCCTTATAATTTCTATATATTGCTATATCTATATGATTTCTATATGTCTATATATTTTATATAGCTATATCTATATTTACCATTGTAGCACTTTAGAAGTTTCATTCTGTTGTTTTTACCTCTTATGATGAATAGCAGAGTTGTGTTTCCTTACACATCTGAGTTGTTACTTCCTCTTGGACATTAATTCAATACGCAGTTCATAGTGGATCTCCTTCATGACAGCACTCAGGAGATTTTGGTTTAAATTCATTTTCTAATATTAAAATGTTCACCCTCTCTGAGTTATCCTTGATAAAACTTTAAAAGGTATATATATCTGCTTTCAGACAACACCCTGAGACCCCCTCCTTTTTTGTCATTTAAAATATTTCATCTTTGCTTATGCATTATATCCCTTGATTAGGAGTACATGTGGGAATCTACTTTTGATGATAGCATTTTGCTGGGCTCTGAGGGGAAGAGGAGAGAAGATGGTTCTTTCTCACCCTCATGACTCTTCTACTTCTGACTGAGCTGTTGAGTTGATAGTAAGAGCGAGGAGGAGGGGAGAGAAACCAGTTGGGTGAGAAACTTGGGTGTGTCCATTTTCCTATTATTTATAGGAGTTGTTTATGTCCCCGACCCTCCCCACACCATTCATTAACGAGGTGCACATTATTAGCATGCTCTTCTAAAGTCTTCTTGGGTGCACTAGACAGAATTGATAATATTCCAGATGTGAAAACTCATTTCTCTCTTTCCTTTCTTTGGCATGGATGTGCAAAGACCTCGGTGGCATTCTTTAATTGCAAAGTACAATCTAAGTAACTTAACTGAATCCACCATGATTGGCTGGGACAGCCTGATTCGGATCTTCTGTCTACACCCAGGCCTCCTGGTGGGGCTGTGGAAGGTAAGGTTCCAGTGCCTGCGTGCACTGTGCCATCTCCCTCCCCGCTTCATGTTGACTCACCATTATGCATGATGCCAAATGTGAGGTCCCTCCAACTTTCCAATAACCACAGTCTGTTTTACGCTCCAGCAACTTCATTTTCCTAGCTAAACGACCCCCTGTTCACTGGAGGCCCCTCTGCTCTTCTGCTGTCACCAATGATAGGCGACCTGTTCCTGTCTGCATGGTTTTGTTCATGTTCTCCCTCCCGTGTCATTGGAGCCTCCCCCTTCCTCCTTCCCAGCAGTCCCTGCTCCCTCCTCCTTTCACATCCTGTGTCTGCCAGAGGGTCTCTTACTGTGTGTTTACCCAGTCTCCACATGCGTTTCTGATCCGGTATGTGTGGCCTTACATGTAATCTGCCTTTCAGGAGACCGTGTCTGAAGAGTTCTCCTCTCCCACTAGATGAGGTTTCTTTTTTGCCGGGGTGAGAGTGTTGACTGGCTCCGTCCTTTGGGGTTACTTTCTGGGCAGTCACTTCAGCAATGAGCATAATAGTGTGATGTTTCCTGTGCACCACATGTGGATGGAGATCTGTGGCCTCGGTTTGTGCGGGCTTTAACATGGAAGTTCACAAACGAGAATAGCAGTCCACAAGTCTGAGTGAGGCTCGACAGAACCAAGATCTACAACATCGACCTCTTGTCCTACTTTGTCTTTCTCAACCTGCTGGGGCCATCAGTTTTCCTATCCCTCCCTCGCTCTCTGAGTGAGGGTGACTTGTAGCCCACACAGCAGTTGGCTTGTTGGGCACCTCCTTGACTTGAATTCATCTCTCTGTGTGGGCGCACATAGTTATGAGGCCCCTGGTTGGGCCGGTCATCCTCTGGCTGGCTACCGGAGAGCGGTGCCTCAGATTGACCATTCTGGGTTATCTTCGCCAGTCAGTGTCAGCTGTGAATTTGGGCAGGAATGGATGTCTGTCCCTCTACAGTCACATTTTCTACTACTCAACCTGGTGGCTGAATCTGTTCATTCCCACTGGCTTTGTCAAGTCAAGCAGGTACTCAAGAGAGGAACATGTGCCACTAATGTTAAGTATTTGTGGAATTAATCTTGTATATGTGAAGGTCTTACCAGTATTGTCCTTATCTTGGGAAAGAGTTTGAAAGAACCTGGAACTAACCATGTGTATTTTCACGATGCACATATAATAGAGTATTTTGATATTTCACAAGTGCTGGTGATGTGATTGACATCACAGGATGTTAACCCTTTTGGTACCACGTGCTCTGTGTATTTGGGTGAACCGCGGTCCTGCTGTCAGTGCGCCGTGTGAATCTTACTGGATGGTAATAATGTATTAGCAGGAATAATGCTTTAGGACTGTGGTGATCTTGCAGTGGTAAGAAACTGCATCTATCCATAAGACGAATGTGCTGCGACCTTGTGAAAGATTAAAATATTTCAGTTGAAAATGTATTCTTTCTAATTAACTTTTCAGAGGGAGGAAGAACTGGCTTTTGTAATGGCAAATCTTCATTTCCATCACCTTGTGGAGAAGAGCACGTTAGGCTCAGCCACTGTGTATGTATTTATATGTGGGTGTGTTAAATTTTTGTATAGTCAATGTAAAGGACTAGAAGTTGAAACCATCTTAATATCCTGAGAATAGCTACAAGAGCTTCTGTTTTCAATCAGTAGACACAAGCCAACAGGTATAATTACTTAGCTGTTGCTAAAATAATTGGATTATTCATGAGCACACATTTGCTTTATTTGTTCTGGGTTCAGGATTATGTCCCCAGTAGAACAGTATTATGGGGGCAGGATAGTGTGTCATTAGCTTGTTATGCAGCATAGTGTGTCGTTATCACAAGATGCCAGTCCCTCAAGATGCTTCCCATTCTTTGCACTAATGTGCGTTTTCATATCTTGCAAGGCACGCAGACCTCTGGCCAAGTCGGGTCTGCAGATGCGTTTTGCGTGGTCCACACAGTGTGTGTCTTTCGATGAATTTGAAGGTCTTCAGTTGGGGAATATGCTTTTCATCTCACAACTGCTCTCATACTCAATTTTTTTAAAAAATTATCTGAAAAGCTCCTGGATGCTTTTGAGTTTGCTGCCTTACCCAGTAAGGTCTTTCTTAGCGAATAGAACTGTTCATCACAGTCGTGGCTCTTCAGCCTGGGCTCCTGCTCTGTAGGTCTGTTGTTTGGTGCGTTCTCCTGCCGGGCAGCTCCGTCCTCTGGCCCCCGAGACTCCGGACGAGCAGAGCTGTCTTTGCAGAGCTGCTGGCCTTGGCACGTCCCAGAAACACGCTCCTCTGTGGTCCTCTGGGGAATGCTTATGGAACTCATTCCTTTGCCCGTTTTTATAGAAGTTGGTGAAGGGAACACAAGGCAGTTCTTTCAAGTTCCTGGTGTGGAAGATTATTGGGAACCCTGTAGACGATTGATAGGAGCTGGTGTTTGGATGGATGCTGATTTTTTTTTTTTAAAGAGTATTTTCAGCTTAAACATTTTATCTCTGGTGTTGATAAACTTGTGTGTATGTTTTGTTTTGCTTTTTAGCCCCTACAAGCTACCTCCTCATACCCCTCTTTTGGATGACCACCCAGAGTACGGACTGCATGGCTACCAGCTCCATGTTGATATGCACAGCGGTGGAATTTCCTACCTGTGTGGCACATTTCGCAATCTCTTTACCAAGAAAGGTGAAACTAATTGATTTTTTGTTTCAGTATGAAATTAAAAGGTTGGAAACAACGGGACCAGTTTTGATATGAGTTAAGAATTGTCTCTTCACTGATCATCTGTTGGCACTCTGTCTTCCCATACCCATACCTCATCCTAGGACTTAAGGAATCCCATGGCTAGATCTAGTCTCTTTAGTCTTGGGCTCTGTCTCCTTCACTACCATCTCTCTGCCTTCTGGAATATTCTCTACTCATCTTTTCTGCTGATACTTTCCTTACTGTTTAGCCCTGCTGTGCCTCCCCCGCCCACCCCAAACTTCTTCCCTTCTTTCTCGAAGGAATTCGAGAAAGTGTAGCATCTGTCCAGGATAAGAATAAAGAGAAACCACCCTTCTGTATATACTGCATCCATGTTTGTCATGCTCACCAAAGCCGAGACAAAGACTGGAGAAGGCTGAGAGGGAGGTGACCTCAGTTGAGTGAATCGGAAGAGGAATATAGAATGCCCCCTGTTCTGCTTTGTCTTATTGTTTCCTCCTTTTTTTTTTCTTAAAGATTTTATTTATTTTACTTGAGAGAGAGAGGGAGAGAGCACAAGCGCAGAGCAGCAAAAGGAGAGGGAGAAGCAGGTTCCCCACTAAGCAGGGAATCTAAAACCAAGCTCAATCCCAAGACCCTGGAATATGACTTGCGCTGAAGGCAGATGCTTAACTGACTGAGCCACCCAGGTGCCCCTCAAGTTAAACATTTTTGGAAACAATATTTTATAGGGGAAGTTTTATACTTCATTTCTGAATATCCTGCTTCCCAGAATTCTTTCATTTAATAGATTTGATATCCATTACTAATCCTTGCCTGAATCAATTTATTTTAGAGTTTAGAAAATGGTGATTTTCTAATTTTTGGTGATTTTTCTTATTAATGGTGATTTTCTAATACTTCTACATTTATTAGCTGAGATTTTCTAAAGAAATTCCCCACATCAACTGGTGAGCTCCTGTAGTGGCAGGGTTAATGAGCTTTCTCTTTGACCACCAATGCTCAGATTAAGGAATTGATGTTATCACTCCATGTGGTGGGAATTATTTTGAGTGCACTCTCTCTCTTCTTTGCTGCTTAGTGTCATTGTGGACTCTTGGTTTTTTATTTAGTCAATAATGTATAGACAACTATAGACATCATTCTTTTTGAAGCTAAAATTGTCCTTAGTTTGGTCAATGGGTCTACTTCAAGCCAGCTCCTGTGCCCTTTTAATACACCCTCATAAGTCTTTAAGTCTTTGTTTTTTAACTCAGGATTTCTAGGTTTTTCTGTGCCTGTTGGCATTTTTATTAGAATTATGTCAAATGTGTATATTGACCTAAGGTGAATCAACATCTTTGTTGTTGAATTTTCCTCCCCAAGAATGTGGTTTATTTTTCATTGTGTTCAAGAATACTTACATGTCTTTTAGGGTGTTTCAGAATTTTCTTCATACTAGTCTTACACATTTCTTGTTAAGATCTTTAGTATTTCATCTTTGTTACTTCTTTTAAATTGTACCTTCCATTTGTAATGTTTTTCGTGGCTTTGGTCTCAGGCCACTTCATAGAGCAAGTTGGGAAGTATTCCTGCTTACTTCTGGGGTTTTTTGGAGGCTTTTACATGGAATTGGTAGTAGGTCGCCTTAAATGGTTGGTCACCTGGGAAGCCATCAGGGCCTGGAGCTTCCTTTGTGGGAAGGTTTTTAACTACAGCTTCAATTTCTTCTATAGATAGAGGGCTACTTAAGTTATCTCTTTCTTCTTGCATGAGCCTTGGTATTTTGTGTTTTTAAAGACATTTGTCTAAATATTAATTATGTTAAGATCAGTGGGGTAAGGGTATTTTTGGCTTGCTCCCTCTAGTACAAATTTCTCTGTGAATGTTCACCAAATGATGGGTACCTATATCCATCATTTTACTAGAGACTGCCATGATGTTTCCCTAGTGCAGTCATTCCCTCTGTGCCCATTATCTAGTATCCTTCTGTAAAGAAGAGTTTTCTCTTATCAATTATTTGGTTACCTGAAATATGATTAGTATGGGAAGGGCAGGGCACGTGTTTGAGTCCTTTTTTTTATTTACAGAATAGTGATAAACGCTCTAACAGTCTTCAAAGATGACTTAGAGGGTTTTTTTGGGGGGGGTATTATTTTGAACTCATAGATTAAAAAATGTAGTTTATGTATTTTCAGTCATTATTCCTTTTATAGTTATTGTGATGCTCAAATTGTCATCTTCTTTTGTGGTCTTTTGACATGACATGATTCATCTTTGGTAGCTTGCTTGTACTCTAACATGACCAGATACCTCAGGCTCATCTTCTCTGTTTCTTGTGCACATTTGGAATTATCCATTTTCCCTAGGAGCTCTGGTTCCCTTTAGTTCCACTACACAATGGCATTTAGAAACTATAACTTGGATCTCGGAGATGCACGTTGCTTTTGGGTTTTCATTCCCTTTAGCGTTTTCAGTAGGCGGTGCTAAGAAGTTTGTAATTTTTATAGTGGGAAGAAATAAATCATGTATTCATGTAAATGAAAGATTCTAAGGTTTTTACTTAACTTAGGTTTGACTGTATACTTGTATCTCTTTCTCATGCTGCAAGTCTTTGTCCCAAACAACATCAAAATATGTAATCATTTAAAAATGGCAATATTGATATTGTTACTAATAACGAACCCACTGAATGTTCTTTTAATTAAGAGTTTCCTGCTGCTCTTCATGGGCTTCAGATGCACCATGCCAGACAGTGAAATCACCCAAAGTAGTCCTCGGTGTGGTTATGCTGCCACTTACTGTACAACCAGAGTGATTTGTTTCAGTTGATTTTTTTTATTTTTCGGGATTGCTTTCCTTCTATATTTACATTAAAAATTTTTCATCCTACATTTACATGGTTTATCATTGAAACTATAAACAAGGAAGCTCGGGGAGGTTTACTTCTACCCTTGTCCTTCATCCCTGCTCTCTCCCTTCCTCCAGAGGTGACCCTGTATTTTGATATTGGCCTTTGGCTTATTCCGTAGATGCTCTTTTCTGAATATACAATGCTACAGGTCCGCGTGTTTCTATTTCTCCCAGCTTTTCTAAAGGGGCACACTGTACTCCTTTTTGAAAGTTCCTTGCTCTTTTCTAGTTGGCAATAGATTCTGGAGATTACTCTTTAGAATGACATGGAGATTTTTCTCATTCTGTCTTTTGAAACCAGCTTTAGGTAGGCAGTTTGTTAATGGTTTCTGTCTGTGGTTTCCACGATTACAGAGAGCGGTATAGTAAATAAATGACGTTTTCCATACGTCCTTTTATATTTCGCCAGTTTGTCTTTGGAATACTTTCTGAGGATTGCTGGTCAAGGGGCAAATGCACATATAATTTTGAAAGAGACTGTCAAATTCCCTTTTATGGGGGGATTTCTAACTTAATAAGGATATGAAGTCAATAAAATGTTTTATTACTGGGGGTGTTTGTTCTAGGTTTGTATTATGTGTTATACAAGGCAGTTAAGGAACTTTCTATTCCTAAAGTACTTGGATTTAAAAAAAATATTGGGAATGGTGGGTAAATGTCAACTATGTCTTTGGGCAGTACTGATGCTCATATGATTCCGTCTCTGTGATGCTATTAATGTAGCCTATTTCCTCAGTCTGTCTTCTAGTGGGAAACATCCTGGAGCTTCTGACAGAAGCTTCTCATGTCATGTGTCTGCTTATTTTTAAGCTACTGTTGGTATTTAGTGTTTTTCCATTTACACTCAGATTATTTATAGTTTCATTTTTAAAAATCTTCTGATCTGGTTATAATCAGGTTTTTTACTTTTCATTGAATCAGTTTTTAGTATTTATATGATTTCCTAGAATGTCGTCTGTTTTGTTTAGGTTTATTTTGATCTCTTTCTAGCTTTTTGAGTTGGCTGCTTTATTTTTTAATTCTCAGTGTTTCTTGTTTTTCTTCAGTTCTCTTTCTGCTGTGCGCAGGATCTTGGAGTCTCTGGTTCAGGAAGGAACTGAAGGTGATCTAGAGAATGAGCCCTCTTGGACCTGAGTGTGCTCTGCAGCCTCTCCTCAGGGCCTTGCCCTGGGAACAGTCCTCCCAGTTTTATGAAGGCGTGAAAATTCTGCCTTTCTTCTCAGTACTTCATCCCTTTTAACTTTATTCTGTTATTGAAATAGAGAAAAAAATCTCCTCCCTCTTTCCGGTATATACCGTTGAGGGGGTTGTTAACTTGCAGTGGTGTGTCCGCAGGGTACAATCGCGTTTGCCCTCTGGGTCCTGTTAGTGGAGAAATTGTTCTCTCGGAGGACATCCTCAAGTGCCCTCTCACTTCCAGACTTTCTTATCTAGCACCATCTACACTCTTCTTGAGAGCCTGTGCTGTGTCTTCCTGTCCTCTTAGGTCAAATCTGTCTTAGGGCTGAGTGTATAAAACTTCAGGAGAGTTCTAAACGAATACAGCATTACCTCGATTAAGCCTTGTGTGCATTCCTTATACCTGAGCTGTGCCCTTAATGAGGAAGACCGCAGTACAGGGAAGACTTGTGGGCACTCGTTATAGGTTCTTGCTAAATGTTTTATATTAATTATTCAACATAATCTTCATAGCAAGCCGGTGAGTTGGGTACTATTTTCTCTCCCATGTTATTGGTAAGAGGCTGCAGCTGGTAGTGTAGGTCAGTTCTTTAATATTAGAGCTTTGTCTGCACCCGCACAGGCCGGTCTCCAGAGCGTGGGTCCTAAACACTGGGCTGCGCTGTCTTCCGTATATTTGTACTTTCAGTGACGTGCTTCTCGAATACGTGTTCTTGTGTGTGTGACTTGGTCTGTCTTTTCAAAGTGTTGGCGTCCTAAGGGCAGTCCTTCTGGGTCCTTCTCTACGGCTTGTGGGGGCAGCCTGGAGCCACTGTTTTGTTGATGCTGGGGGCCCGCTGGGTAGGCTGGCTGATTGGACCCAGAGACTGAGGAAGTTGGAGGAGGACGGGAAGCTGAGATGGGGGTAA